CCCCCCCCCCTTTCCTGTTCTTCCCTGGCCTCCCATCTGTACATTACTACTACTATATTCCTTTAACCGTCACATTTGAGAATTTTAGCACACTAACGACTAAAGCTCAGCCACTACGGGCTGCTGCACGTACTCCTACGTTGAGCCAGAAAGCATATTCTGTTTGACGTCACACGCGGGCCGCACTGGTTGGTCCTCTCGCTCGCACTAACGCTCGCCGCACGCAGTAGCCCCGTCTCTCGCTCCGGAACGGAGTAGCCCGCGGCCCGCGTCTCTGAGACCTCTGATTTAGACGCATATAGACGTCTATTTAAGCCGAAAATGTACCTCAGCTTCTTGAAGACGTCTAGTAGACGTCAAGTGGATTACTGGCTAGGAAGCTGTGTTCAACCGAAGGGGTGGTCATGCAGGTTAAAACTTAAAGGTTCAAATGTACTGTTCAATACTTTCGAGTTTTCAAATTTCCAGTGCAACACGCAAGAGTGTGCATAATACAGATAAATACTACCATATGTGCCTGGTAGTCGCTCACTTTTGCTTTTAGTATACACAGGGTGGTCCACAGACCCCTTCCTTTAGTTTGCTCGATTTTGCTTACTGTACCGGACGCAGGCGCGCGGGCGGATTGCTTAGGGATCATCCAAAAGTACGTCCGTCATTCGCCGTTTCGAACCCTCCAAATTAAGGCAATGCAAGCTCTCATGGCGCCTGATGGGTAGGCAAAATCTTGCATGCCGTGCATGAGTGTATTGCGGGGTGGCCTACCCCGAGTTTTGCAGGCACCGAGCTTCTGTAATTTGCAGGGTGATTTTGAGAGAAACGGGCGTACTTTCTGGACGATCCCTTACTCGCACAGGGCCATAAGGCACCGCGGTGAGCCACGATAGGCAAGCACGCCCACACGCCTGCATACGGTACAGTACAAGCAAAATAAAGGCAGGGGTTTGTGGACCACCCTGTATGTTGTAATTAGACGATTACAAAACTTTCGTTACATTCTTGCCACAATTTTACAGCGGTGGTCTCTTTTACTGTCATAAATATACGAAAGGGTACAGCATGAGTTCTTGATCTATTATAAAGAGGAACATTTTGTGTAATTTTCTGACAACGCTCGGAAATTTACAGACGTACATTTACAAGAAATTCCAAATTGCCAAACAAAATCACAACTATTGTATTTTCAGAGACACAGCATGCTTCTCTCGTGGATACGGCGTCAATTTGCACAGAAAGGAGGAGTGGCCTCCATTCACATAAAGTTTGCAGGCAATTTAACGCAATGAATGCTCTGCAAGGCCTGTTCTAAGACTCGACGTCATCACACGCATTATATGCATGTCCGTTTGTTGTGAGGGAGCGCCATTACGCCTTGCCTCCCACGACATTCGATGAACCTGAAATTAACTGAAGGGAGGCCTTATATATACAGATCACGAACATGAAACACTCACTGATCGGCTAACCGATATGAAGGCTCATTCACGTGGTTGACGCCAGACTGCAAGCAAGTTAGGGGTTCTTGCGCTGCAAAGGCGTTCTTCTTAGGAGTAGAAATAAAACAACGGACCTCTGAAGGGAGCCGTCACTCTGTGTGGTGTTCTGTGCCGCTAAAATAGCAACATCGCTAGAAAAAATGTGAGTATCAAGATCAAGCACGCTTCCGCTGCTTAAGAAAATAAAACTAAGTACTTCTCTATGTATGTACATATCAAGGCATAGGTCCGGATTATTTTGGATTTTTATATGATCACATGATTATCAGTGATTGGCTGCACATGATTATCAGTGATTGGCTGAGCGACAGCGAAGCCCATTACTCCACTGACCGATAGCGTTTCATTCTGTTTGTTTGTTTGTTTGTATGTATGTATAGTGATTTTGAAAGTATGAAATTATGAAATTTGTCTGACATTGTCTCAGGGAGTCCGTGTAGTCAGTACGTAGAAAGGCATCATGTCCTAGCACAGTCCACGGTTAGAAGCAACCGATAGGTGTGGGGTAGCGTCTGCTCCCGAATTCAAAGGTTGAGGGTTCTACTCCCAGCGGGTCTGGCAAATTAATTGGAAGAAAGTACTATTCAACGGTGAAAAGAGTACTTCGGGTGAGGAGGACAAAGTTTTTGGTTCGAAAAACTGTTCAATTTTAGCGTTCTATGCTGTTTTTCATGCTTGTCCGGAAGAACAAATTTTTGCCCCATTTTGTCCCGTCCTGAAATTGAAACATAAAGAAATGTCCTAGGGACATTCTTAGGACACACAAATAGTGTCCCAAACGATGTCCTATACATGTCTTGTCTGTATCATATCCCTCGGGGTCGGACTGTTTTCAATTGTACAGTCCGACCTGTTACCGGCAGTTACAGTCTGCGCTGTATTGTACCGGGTGTAACTGTGAATGTGCAGCAGTGTTGCGGGTGTGCCTACCCAATTCGTCCGTAAGGCGCTATGGCCCCTGCAGCCCTGGCGGGTATGCAATCCCGCAACACTGCTGCGCAGTCAGTTACACCCGGTAGAATACTGTCAGACTGTATTCAATAAAATTTACAGTCCGATCTGTTAAAGTGTGGACTGTAAATTTAAAATTTAGTCGGACTGTAATGCTGGGCCTACTGAGTTGAAATTTCATTTGCGTTTTTGTAGATTTCTCTATGACGACCTTTAACGGTTTTTATCTAAGAGTCAGGACCGTAAATTTATATACAGGCAAGACTGTATTCTGAAGTACAGTCCAGACTGTAACAGGCCAGACCGTAAGAATAAATACAGCCGGCATGTATTCCAAAATACAGTTTAACCGTAAATTTTAATCTAATTCCTGACCGTTAAAGAAAATGTAGTCTGACCGTAAAATAAAAACACGGTCAGGACTTTATGCTCACTGTAATTTGCTACAGTTTTTTAAACATTGATTGGCGCAAATTTATACCTCGTTAATGATATTGGAATGAACTTCCTCAATTTCGACGTAATATGATGCTGCGCATCAAGTTTCAAACAATTTTCCTATAAATTCCATGTCAATACCATGGCACGGCAAAATGAAAACCATGGTACAAAGGGCACACTGTAAAACGATGAGTGACTTTTCTTTTCCGAATAGAGCGACGTATAGGCGTAATCGCTCTGTGAGAGCGATTTTTGCGAAATGACCCAACATGAGTCTTCTTCGTAACAGAAAATGTCGCAGAAACGACCCAAAACGAGCGACGTTTGCGAAAATTACTCAAAATTAGTCTTATTCGTAATCAAAAATGTCGCGAAAAGTTATTGCAAACAAGCGATGTAACTAATATCGCTCTCCCAAGAGTCGTCAAATTGGCTTCACTGATATCGCTCTCCTGGGAGCGAAAAAGGTCGCTCCTTTACTTGTAGTGCACTGTCCCCATGGAGACGATCTAATACGTCCCGTGGAAAGCTGGCCAAGACTCCATCGTGATCATAGTCATAGTTTACTTGGAATCTTACGCATCTTCATCATGACAAGGCGCCTTTCACATGGAAAGTGAGGAGCCACATAGAAACCTTTCCTTTCCCCATGAAACACGGATCATGTGGATTCCATGCGGCTAAAGAGATTTTTGGACTAGGTAGCCCCTAATATTTGTGGTTAATTGTATGTTTCCTTCAATTTTATTTTTCCAGCGGTGCAATGGAGGCTAAGCAGCGAAATTTCTCGGCCTTTCAGCCAACGGGCACG